CTCCTAATTGCCATGGCAAGGGGGCGCTAGCGGGATCACGGCCGCTCCTAGGCCCTAGCCTGTGACACCATATTTCCAAGATTCCTTTTAGTTTCAACTCCTTGAAGAGACTTCTGGCTAGCCAGATTGGTCTCCTGTTATGCTTCCTATTCTTACAGCTCATTGGGATAGCTTGCTCCTGAGTCCTTAACATTACCTCCTGAAAATATAGCCAGCTCTCCTGGACTCTTTTTCCCCTCTTGCAGATGAGCTCAGAATATAGAGGCCCTAAGTGATTTAGCTTTTCAGACAGAAAATAAGGTTTGGTCTCAAATACACTGAGAATCCAGCAGGATTTGGAAATGGTCTGGAATGTGGGGAACAAAAAAATTGCCAAAAGACAACGTCAAAGTTGTGCAACCAGCTGTTAGAAAGGACACTACTTTGTTGACCTGATAGCTAAGGGGAATAAGAGGAAAGTTAAGAAGTTTTGTTCTGGCTATGGTAACTTGATGATGAGACATCCAAAAAGAGATGGTGGGGAAGCAAACTAAGATGATAGACTGAATGGACAGGGTTGGAGAAACAGATTTGTGAATTACTGGCAGAAAGAAAGTAGTTGAAGAGCTATGAATGGATGAGATGACCAACCAATAAGGCGTACCATGGAAAGAGCCACAGTAATCCCCAGAGTGGTGGAAGACGATAAGAGGAGGCTGTTGAGTGAATGGACATGGAATAAGCTTGATAGTATCATGAAACTGCATTGATGAAGAGGAAAGAATGAAGATTAATGGATTCAAAGTAACAGAGGAGCCAAGGAGGATGAGAATGGAACATTTCCACCAAACATGTTTTTTGGGTCTTTGTTTTCAGCTATTGCAAACTTACAGTTAGCTGAAATTAATAAACATTACAAATATCCATGAAATTTCCTTTTTAGCATTTAAACCAGTATTTTATCTTAAACTTTTCAGCTGGTAATACAATACCTAAATTCTCATATCTGAAGATACATTTTTGCTAAAATTTTGGCCCAAAATGCCTTAACTTCAAAATAAAGCCTTTGGATGGACTCGTTGCTTTGTGTATTTTTAAATGTAATTGGACAATCAGCTTGGAGCCAATGAAAAGTCATACTGGATGCATATTATATAAATATGAATATAGACACTGTACTGGATCACTATGAATAACCAGTATAAGTTGTGCAGAAATCACATCATGTATAAGCTAAACAACATTACTGAGCATTATTTTTACCGTGCAGTCTGTGGAAGAGACCTGCAGTAGAGTGTATAATGGTTCCATTGACATTACATTGTGCCCAAAGGACCCATGGATCAATATAATGTCATTGGAAGTGTTGGAGTTGTTATAATGTCAATAAAAGAATAGTAACTGTGTCATTGACTTTGTATCTGGTCCAAACTACCTGTGAATTGCACACATTGTCAGTGGATGGTAGGCTGGCATTGAAAACAAAGCATCTCATTGTTACAATGACATTAAAATAGGAGTTCTTAGTATGTCAGTACAAATGCCATTGTGTTGATAGAATATTTTGGGGGAAGGAGTTACTTCATATTTTTCACTTTTATTAAAATATATATAAAATTAAATGACCATAGCAGACATCACATATCACAGCAATATAAAAATAATGTTGGAAATCTAACTTAATCCAACAAAACAGAAATATGGCTTCTGATCTGTTTTTCTTGTGTCTTTCTGTGTGTACATATGACAGCACAGTTAAACACACTGATATCTAAATTTGCTTATGCTTGATAAAAAGATGAGAATTAAGAACAGCATGGCAGCTGTAACTTTTATTATCTTGCTTTGCAAGATGAAGGTAGATCTGTAATGTACTTTTAATATGGTTCTTTCTAACACAGCAGCCACCACAGGCCAATCAATGCACTGCATTATATTCACTTAATCTGCAACATAATGCATTGTTTTAGCACAGATTACATTGTACAGTAATGCTAGGAAAACTTTGAATGATCTCCATTCTCTGTATACGTTAATCAAATAAAACACTACCAATACTGAGTACTAAAACAATTACCAGAAAATGCTTAGAGTAGGAGGAAAAAGCTAATAAAACTGTAAAATATAATTAAAATATTTCAGTTCTGATCTCCATTAGTTGCTAAATCAAAGATGGCCCGGAAGAAAATGTAGCAATTAACTTTTGATGTTTACTTCTAAAGTCTAATTAAACAAACAACATGTACGCAACCTACGCTTGGACTCCTCACTTCCCACCCATTTCCCTTTTCCCCACTACAGAAAAGAACACAAAAAAAAGCTCTGAAACAGAATAACGGAAACTGCGATGTCCATTAACTTCCAGCTGCAGCACAGGGACCCTACGTCTTTAGGAAAGTAACTGGAGGCATCCACTGTTCTGAGATAAGGGGAAAGCAGAAAGCTCTTCAAGGTGAGGGTATTGAATGCTGCAATGTTTGGTCACAAAATAGAGATGCTTCTTGGCAAGGGGAATGAATTTTCATGCACTATATAATGAAAGTATCCAAATTATGTCAGCAAGAGCAATTGCCATTGCCTCCTATCTAGTAACAGGATAGAACACCTCAATTTGCTAACTGCTTGAGAGCCGATTCTTTCTCTATTACCACAAATCTGTTTTTCACATTGTTCACATCTCCATGAACCTTAAAGTGTTGATAGACTGTTTTTAATCTTCGTTTGAAAAGGGCAGCGAGAGAAGCTTTGAATATCAGAGGAACTGGCAGCAATGAAAAAAAGGATGATCTGGTAAAATTTCAGAGCTATCCCACCTCATTTCTAAGTTTCACAGTAAATATGAAAAGGTAATAACTGTAAACATAGTACTGTAAATACAGGTAAAGAAAAACAGGTTTATGACCTACCAAAAGCTGAACCTAGATTAGATATTCATTATTATCCACATCTTGTAATTCTTTCTCTATTTTCAGGTGAAACTCCCAGAATCCATTTCACGCATTATTACACTGTTCGAATATTACATTACCTTGTAGATTATGATTTCTCGTTCAATGTACAGCACTTACAATAAAAGGATGCAATAATATAGCCATTACCCACAAACGAAAACATGCACTATAGAACGTATTCTTTAAACCTCACAAATACAACTGCAACGTTGAAATTCGGATCACAACTTTATTTTTTTTAATTGTAATCTCTGCTAATTAAGGTAGATGCTAACTAGGGGGCACTGCGTACTCAAAGGACCAAGCGTGAGGTTTGCTTCTACCTTAATACCTGTATTTTAAATTCCTCCGGCTCTTCTCCATCAAGAAGGGGCTGTCAGGTGAGCCAACTGTCACTCTAGCCTAGGCTAATAGATTCTCCAGTGGTTTTTGTTCCAGCTCATGTCATACTATTAAAGCTATGCTCCTTGAAAATGGCATAACATATGTAGCTGAGACTTGTCAGCTCCAGGTAATCAGACTCTGCTTGGTTTCAGAAGCAGATGCAGATGAGACTAGCAATATAAATATGCAAATCACAATGGTCCCTTGTCAGCACCACTGTTCCTACCTCTAATGGCCCTCGTAGAAAGTCTGTTTGCTCAGCTCCTACTTCCAGTGCTACATCGACAGAAGCAAAGGGGCGGCTGGCCATCTGCTGTCGCTCCCGCATAAGTTGCTGATGGGGGAAAAATGATGTTTTAACAAAACATTTAAGAAAATAACGTACAAGATATTAGTCTGTTCTGCTTTGCAGTCAATTACAGTGTAACAATACAGGTAGCATGCACACAGCCATATCTTTCATGCTAAAGAGAGAAACCTTTAATCCACATCATCAACAAGCTAAATTTACTTGAGGACTGAAAGAAGAAGGCATGGGATGTCTGCAATTGTCTTTTGTCCTCACGTGAAACAAAATGTACTCTTAAAAATTCCTTACATTGTTGTTTATGCAAAGCACCTGAAAAATGTGTCTAAGCTAAAAGCAAATATGGGAAATAGTAGAAGAAGATAGTAACTTGACGTCTAATTTCATTGATTTAGCATGAAATAGAATGAACACCTGCCAAGAACAAGTCCATTCGGCCTTCAAATTCCCCATGCTTTTGTACTGAAGCCAGATGGAGTTATTAGTGTCAGTACTTATAATTTTATGTAGCATCTCTTCTCCAATTACTTATATATGAAGAATAATGTCTGGGTATTGGGGAGCATGTGCCAGCACAACTGAAGACTTTAGTTATACTCATTGTGCTTATATACTCCCTTGCAATCATGCCAATGTGCAAATAGGTCACAACCAAAACCACAAAGCTAATTTATATTTCTTCCTCAACCTGTAATTATAATGCTCATTAAACCGTGATGAATAAAAATGATGACCAGCACTAGATATTACAAATCTTACTTCTCTGGTTCTATGCAACTAATAAAAGCATTATTAAATATTTAAAGTGGATGACTTGTGCAATTAAAGTCCGGAGCTTCTTCAACTGAAGATGCCACGGCATCTGAAAGATGTACAATGCTTTTTTTAGAAAAAAAATCTAGATTTTCTTTTCAGGGGGTTTTACTTCCTACTATTTCCTTGCAAAGCTGAAAACATTAGGTATTGGCTTTTAAATGTAAATGCTGTCAGCACTGTGACATACTGTTCATAAAACTCCCTTTGAGATAATAAAGAATATACAAGCAAATACCTGATGGCAGCTTATTATTTAACGCTCTTGATTTAATGCCTGTTACAAAGCACCAAGTACATTTTGTGACACCTCATGCTTTTTTTTTTTTACTTTAAGATTTTCTTCATAACCATAAAACACCATTATCAATATTAAAATAAAAATAATATACTTGTCATCTAACCTATATCCTATCAGATCCTATGGCCAGGTTGTGTAAATGTGCCCAGCACCCAACAGTAGAAATTAGGCCTCCCATTTATCATGTCCACTGAATAATATCCAGGCCCGTAGGCAAAGCTCCATAGTATATAGTCAGATGGAATAAAAGCACTTTTGAATATCCAGATGGCTAAACACTAAGACAAAACAAATACTTTAAAAATGAAATAAAACAAAGTTTTCATGTACTGATTTGCTATAGTTCTGTATCCTATATTTATAAATTTTACAGCAAAAAAAAAAAAGGACCACTAGTCTTATCTCTAGCATAATAGAGACAATGTGATTTTCTCTGGTAAAAGTATTAAGAGACTGTATGTTGAAAACATCATGTCTGGCTCCTTTTCTTCATACTATAAGAAAAATAGTGAAAAATGGTAACAAAGCAGCCTCATCCATATGGAACTAATTGTAGTATTGGATAAATGGGGTAAACACTGACAAATGCTTACATTCAAATGGGGCACTCAGCAGTCGGCAAAGCAAATGCAATTGGCTGCAAAGAGTGTTTAACAGGCAGAAGAAACCATTTTAAGGCCACACAGATGACTTTTAAAGGATTTGTTTAATCCAGTTTTTAACAGAAAGCATACTTAAAGATTTGCATTGTGTCTTGTTTAAGCATTGCAGTTCTCTTTACTTCTAGAGCAGGCTGTGTTCAATAATGCATCCTATTCACAAGGCTGTCTTTGTAACCTGGATATTCTAAGTCATTTGAGAACTATATTATAAAGATCCTTAATTAGTTTTTTAAACAAAACCTAAAATTTTAAAAGGTTCAGCTGCCCATGAAATACAGTGGGGGTTTGGCAGCTGAGCACATGCACATCAAAGAAATATGCTCTATTCAAAACACTGCTGCTTCCTATTCAGTGTTTAAAAGCTCCCACTAAGGTGCAGAAGGGGAGAGAAAAGCCAGCTGGGGGTAGAAGGGAGTGAGATATTTCAGTGTATAAAATGACTTTTGTGCATAGAAAAGGTCACAAACTCCTGTCATGTGCAACTGTTCATGTGCCAAGGTGCTTTACAAAGGAAAATCCCAATTAAAGAGAATGGCTTGTGAATGAGATTAATGTATTGAGTGTGGCAGCCAGGTAGGGAGAAAGAAGAGTGCGATGGGGAGAGCAACACACTGCTTGCTCGGGTGTGGCTCTGGACTCGCACACAGCAATCACGCAGTTCCCAGAGCTGAGAGCAACATGCTTTAAATAAATCAACAGGCAAAAAAAAGGTAGGAAACCCCCAAAGAATTCCTCCAAGCAGCGGGGTAAGGGAGAAGAGTAGGAAAACCCTCTCTTACTTCCACTGCCAGCAGGCAAGAGAGATGAAACACAGGCCCCGGCAGACGTTACACGTGAGACATATTTAACCAGTTAATCATGTCTCAAGTAGGAACCCAGCCGCACGTTCAAACAATCAATGGTACCATAAAACAGGAAATAAGCCACTACACAAAATGTGTGTAATAACTTTGTGGCTGGTTCCCATCCCACCTTAAATTGAATACGTGGCCACTCCCAGCCTTGGCAGGACATAGTCAGAGCTGATGGGTGCTTCTAGCCTGAGGATGGCAAACTGATGAAGTAGTGTGATCTAGTCCCTAGATGACAGATACATAACACGCAACAGGCTATGGGAGGGAGTGTTTAGCATCATGGAGAAAGCACTTGTTCAAAGCCGAGTAGATGGATTTAGTGGCTTGCGGTGGCTGATGCCTATGAATTTTAGTTGGCCATCTGGGGTAGGAGCTGGGGGCGAGGGCAGGGCAGGTGTTCTAGGAACCATAGGAATGAGTCAAATGGGTTGAAATGGGAAGATGCTTGTCTGGTTTCTCAGTGTTTGACAGCTCATAGGAAGAAAACCAAGAAGAGGCCATTTATCATAGGAAGTTGGGAAGGGGCATTTTGACATCTGAAACAACTAACTGCAGAAGAGCTTTACTTTTGGCTGTTTAAAGGAAGTTGGCATCAACAACATGTTCTAGAGGAAGGGTATGGCTGGTGGCAGGGAAACTGTATTAGGAATATCTTACTCCTTTGTAGCCTGTCATATCTTCTCTCACTCATTATACATCTCCAAGTCCTTTGTAATTACCATCTAGACACTTCTCCTTTCTAACTTAAGATATTCAGGCCATAGCCATTTCTGTCCTAGGAACTGATATGTCACCCAGCATCTCCTCAATAAACCACATGCTCCTAGGAATCTCTGTGATGTGCCAGTATCCTGTATGAACTGCTCAATGTAGAATTGGGAAGTGATGGACAGATTTTTTACAACTGCAGCTGAGTTTCACAAAGACTGGTGCCGGCCTGGGTATGAACGACGAAACCTTAAGGAGAAAGCCTTATAGGAAGTCAGTCAACTGACCAGCCAGCTGACCATAAAACAAGGCAATCCATCAGTTACACACCC